TGGAACGAGCCGCAAGTTCGACTCCGCATTTTGCCCAAACGGAAAAGAAAGTGGAAGCAGCTTCCCCAGCCAAGCCAGAAACGGTACGTGACACCTCCCTTCCAACTTATTTTCTGCTGTGATAGACCCTCAAGGAGAATTATTTCAGGTTACCGATGAGGAATCAAAATTATCGTTCTTAGTAAATGTTTCCGAATTCAAACCAGATGAGCTGACAGTGAACATCGATGGTCGGACTCTGACCGTTGAAGGCAAGCAAGAAATAACTGAAGGCTCAAATTACACCAGCAGGTAAGGCCTTCCATTTTCAAATTTCAAAGGTTGGCCTCTTTGGATAAAACCACTGAATCACCACTTTTGCAGGTCACTCCTTCAGCGATGGACTCTTCCAGAAGACGTTGACGTCGACCAAATACGATCCACTCTTACTGAAAACGGTCAGCTGTCCATCGAGGTGCCCAAGCCGAAACCATTGTCACTGCCAGAACCATCCCGATCCGGAAGGCTGCCCATCGGCCGTAAAGTGAGGCCAATTGCTGCCTTGTTGTCGTAACTATGAGCAAATTATTGTCGGGGAGCTGCTATTTATTATTCGTTATTCTTTGTATTATTTTATCACATTTGCGCCTTATGGCTTAAATTTGACCAATAAATATGTGTAAATGATAAATTATGCTTACGGAAGCCAGTAAATAACAAATTGTCTTCAATATTTTTGTGCCCATAAGTCTTGCACTGACTTCGTTGTATAACAAACGATGTGAGACTCTAAAATATTATATTCATTGCCTAAGACATAAAAGAGCTGCAAAAATGTTGTCAAAGTTTTTTTCGTAACCTCATATGCCTCTCAGGCCTGACAAAGGCGCCAGGATTCGAAAGATGAGATAAGTTTCCTATGTTCGCCTAATATTAGGTCGTGAAGAAAGTTCTTGCGCTTTTCGACCTTGATTTTCAAATGCCTGTATCTCGGCTCATTCGAAACCTTTTTGATTGGAGTAAAGACTGTTAGAATCCACAAACCTCTGCCAATAATAGCTGCGTTGAATCAGCCCGGTAGTGCAGAATACTGGAGCTCTAGAGACGATGAACCCGGCGGAGGTCGTTTCCGCATCATGTTGGTTTTTGAAGCATAACTCTTTGGAGAAGCTATCCAGGTAGTCGAGAAAGTGACAAATTATAGGCAAAAAGGAGTAGGATGTTTGCAGGACTTGTTGGAGCTACCTGTCAGGGACGAGCCGGTTCCTTTATAATGAGGAATTTCGAGCATATGTGCCAGAGTTCTAGGAGTAGTTTGACACATTATCAGGAGTACTTTTTCCACATTAACAGATCCACCTGGTTACGAAAAGCTAGACCAGCCGCTGACCTTATGAAAGTCACCTCAACCTTCCTTCAGTGAAGTTTCACTTTTGCAAAGTTTGTAGAGCCTGATCGCGGTCGATCACTTCACCAAAGGTTCGTATTCTGTAGCAAAGAATCCGTTCTTTGTCGTGCGTCGCAGCTCTCGCTATCACAAAAGCTTTTTGAACAATTGCTTCAGACCATATTTATTGCGAATCTCAGCCAAGTGCGTCTATAATATCTTGACCTGCTTCCTCTCCATACTGGCCTGCTTTGAGCTAGAAAAAGGAAATCATGCAAATTTGCTCTTGGAGTATGCCGTATTCAAGGCTTCAAAAAATGACAACTAAATAATAAGGAACATAGCTAGCCTAGCTGTTAGATAGAACAAGAAAAGCTCTTCAAAACCACATACAGCTCATTGGCAGCTTGCTTGAATTCGTAACAAAATAAAGCGTTCAAAAACGAAACACCGAAAAGCGCAAGAACTTTCTTCACGACCTAATATTTATCTATTTACGTGTACTTTATTTATTTCTGTATATACGTTTATTTATTTGCCTGTTGACATTTATTCAAGTGATGATGCCCCCAAAGCGTGGCTCAATAAATTGAACTAAAGTTGGAGGAAAACTTGAAGCAGACTAGTATTTCTGGCACAGTATCAACCCTACTATACAAGTATGCACTAGCAGTTCCAGTGTTTGAAGTGAACCTAAATTTAATGCTCATGTCGTGAGGGGGAGGTAAAGATCGAAGGTAGTGAGCCACTTGCAAATTTCGGGATTGAGCCTTAGGGAGGGGAAGGGATTCTGGGGAGGACAGAGCAACCATTGTTCTCCCTGGCGTTTCTTCCCCTCTCCTGGGCTTAGTCCTAGTGTCACCTACCAGCGGTTTTTGAATGCCCCGTTCCGAATGTCTCTCCTAAGAACGTGAGCGCCCCCAAGTTTACCTCTCAGACCGTCAGACTCGCACATCAAGTCACTACAACTAGTCGTTGAGAAACGGCAATCGCTTGCACGTTAACGGGCAGCTTTAATGAGTGGAGGTGCAAGTTTTTCAGATGATGGTGGAAATCGCTTCTATGGCACCTAGGAGACCTTTTATGAAACTCTGAAGAAAGCTTCCAGGTGAGCTGCAGCTCCCTGGCAGGGTGGTTCCTTCCTTGTTACGCGCAAGGAAGGGCTCGCTGACAGAAAACGGGACGCGGAGGGGCGAAATACAAGGTG